TTTGCCCACTGCTGAGTACCCTACAGGAACAGGGTTTAGCTACTATACACCAAGCTATTGCAGTGATTTAAGCCCACCAGCTTTATTCCATTTATTTTTCCAGGATTTGTCCTAATGGAAGTCAGTTTTCCTTTGAAGTGGGTTCTGTAGAAATGCCAAGTACTCTGCTAAAGCCAAGGGTCCATCACCTCCCTTTGTCCCAAGTACTAGGGGTGTTCAGCATCTTGCAGGACTTCTCTTTCCCCAGCCTTCCCCAGCCTGCTACCAGCAATAGTGACTTGTAAGTGGTTAGATATGGATAAAACAAGCAGTGATTTTGGAAATTCCTCTGATACCTCAAGGCAATGAATGCTGCAGTATGCTATCAGTAAGAGCCTCTTGTAGATAAAAGGACTCTTTATACTTGAAGTCTGCAATTTACTTTGTCTAAAGACAGTAGTACATATAGATTAAGGCAGAAGCTATTGATGCTTCTCCTTTGAGGTTACTGATCTTCTCATGTGGTGTGGCGAACTTGACATCTGGACATAAGACCTTGTGCTGCTAGCAGAGTGTGGCTTTCTGGCTTGTTCTGTCCTCAGTCCTTTCTGGCAGGTAAGCAGTGATGGTTGCAAGGCACCAAGCAAACAGTTTCACTGCTTTTTTTTTTTTTTTTTTTTTAATCATTGGTGTTCATTATGTTTGTGATGCTGTTTGGAGAGTTAATCAGAGTTTAAATAAAAAGATAAAAATCACCTTAATATAAGAATAGCCATCTCCTGAAAACAGATGGAACAATCCAGACTTGTCTTCAGGCTACTCAAAAAGGTGAAGACAAAGCACCTAAGGAAATGAAAGCTTGAATTTAATAGTTTAACCACCATTATTATTTAGCCCTAAATTCAGTGCATGTCATAGTATCATTCTGTTTTATTCCGTAACACATTAACAGGCTAAGATGAAAAATAAATCCGTCTCCTGATCCTCTTTGTGTAGTTGCTGCCACAGTAGGGAATGCAAAATCTTCAGCCGTGTATTGATGTTTCACTTCTTACCATCATCATGGCACATATGCTTGTATTTATTCCAAAAACCACAATGAAAGCCACAGAGGAGCCTGATAACAGTGTATCTATCTCAAATTCTGCATGGTCACCAAGGGCACTGAGATAGTAATTCGCTAGCATAGGAGAAAGGTGGCAATAAGCCCCTCACAGGACAGTCGGGCTGCCATCATACCCTGGAGATGGGCAGTGGGAGCCCAGGGAGTGTGTGTAGCCCAGATGTTGCAGCACCTCTCCCTGTACTTGGACAAAGAAAGGGTGGCAGCATGAGAGTAGGCAGGCAGCTCCTCTTCTGTTGCTCATGTCAAGGTCCCCAGATGGTGCTTTTTATGTCACAGGCATAGAGAAACCCCACTGTGTTTTTCACTTCTTTGACTGATTCTCTCCAAGCTTTTTCTTCTGGGCATTTGTTGCTGCCAAGGGCAGGTGAGATGTAAAAGCACCATGCAGGCTAGGATAGATGCTAGCACAGGCGTCTTCTGAAGGGGGACCTGGTTGGAGAGAACGTAGACAGCAATGCAGTCTTTCTCCCCTGATGGGGAGGAGAGTTGGTTTGTTCTGTACTGTGCAGAATATTTTTTTCCAAACAACTGCTTTCATGCAGCTTTTTTGCCTGACTTCAAATAAAGGCCAAAAGAATAATAAAAAATATTTTAAAAACCCAACCCAAACCAAACAAACCCCAGTCAGTCTCAGACTTGAGCACAATTGGCCCAAGAGGGACAGGTTAACAGCTCTGACAATAAAATTACTGTCTGGATATTGAATTATTGAAACCACTCTTTTTTTAATGCTGTAATGCAGAGCAAGAACAACTGGCCTTTGGATAAGGTGTGCTTGACTGCAAATGTTACTAAAAAGACCAAAGAAGGTTATGACCATCCAGCAAGGGAAGGGGCCTGTATCTGTCTGCTCTTCATGGAAGGTAAGAAATAAACTTCAATTGCTTGATCTCACTAGCCTAGTTCAGGGACTTCTATTACTCAGTAGGTAAGTTGCACCAAGACTTGGACTAAAGTGTTGTGATCTTATGAACTGCACTGAGGAAGTTTACGAATGGTGGTGAAATGTTGGCATTGGTCCACACTCTGACTTCCATACCACTTCAGTGTCCTGCATGACTATACTTCCTGCACTTAAATAACTGTTAAGTGAGTCTGAACAAGGTCTGCATTGTAGTAAAACAGCAGCTCTAATCCAGTCAAGGTTCAGAAGTTTAAAGACTATTCCAGAGACTTTTAATTTCACAATACTGATCATCTAGAAATTTTTTGCAGCTCTTACAGGTGCAGAATAGGGTTAGTAGTTACCACATGTTGGTAACCTGCATCAAAGCATCTACACAATTGCAGTTAAAGAAACAAACGAAAACACCCAAATCCCCCAACCTAACCCCTGAAAACAAACCAACCAACCAACGAAACAAAACAAAGCCCCACAAAAATTGTCCTTCTTCTGTTTTTCCTTCCACCTTGGCAGAATGTTGGCCATTCTAAGTAAACAGACCTAAAGAACTCTGAACTTTGTGTTTGCTAGGCTATAATTCTTAAAAGCCTTTGGGGAGACAAACCAAGAAGCAAGGAGGTACTTGAGAACCCCTGTATTAGCATGAGGTATAATGACACAGCAGGTGGGCAAAGTGTAAGAAGTAAGAGTAGATTTTTTCCTCTGGATTTTCAAGCAGTCAGTTACTGAAGTAGCTGTAATTGTTGTAGGCTGTTCCTGAATGGAAATCGTATTCATCTTTTAAGCTGCAACCCTACTTCTAACAACTTTCAGAGGATAAACATTGTACCTTGCTCTTTTAAAACTGTTCTTGAGACTGAAGCATCTAGTTTAAGAATGACAATTCAGTCATGCATTCAACAAGAGATTTTAGTTTCAACTTAGTTGACAGCTTTTCTAAGTTTCAGCTCATTAGAGGAAAAGGAATGACTCCCAAAGGCAATTAGAGAAACATCATTGTTACTTGTGCTCTTCACCAGACCTGCATATAATAAAAGGAAAGCAACTACTGGAAGGGAGTTGCTACTACAGCAGGTAAGCCCCAAGGGGAAAGTCAGGGTGGGGGACTAGATCAATGATGAGGATGTCATTTGACAGTTGGTTTTTAAAGTGGTGGCTTTTTTTTTAAAAAACATTTGTCATTCCAAGGGCAATACTGTTCATTCCTCCTCTGGATATGAGGAAGTATGAAGGAACCTTGTGACTGCAGTTTGTGTTTGTGTTGGTATTTGCAAATATAGTTTCCTGTCACTACATAAACACTAAAATCCATAAGAAGCATCTGGAACATTTTATATGCTAGCTTATGTTAGAACAACCCAACAGACTTAACAAATCCAGCAGCTTTTAGAAAGGTAGCCCCCTGGCAGCACAGAACTCATCTGTCTTAACTACACCAAAGTACCTGCTTCATATCTCACAGTACAAGCACATGCTAAATACGCCAGTGTAGTTCTCCACCCTTTGGGTTACACTTCCTCATAAACTAGTTGAGAATGATGAGAATATCTGAGGATTTGACTTTGGCAGGAACATGCATACTCAAAGTCCCAAGTGTAAGTAGTTTCCAGTCCCTGCTTTCAACAAAAGGGCATACTGATAAAACCACAAGTCCATTCTGGGCACATGCTATGTACTCATCTCTTCATTCGTTCATCGAGACAATGCACAACAGGTCAAGAACAGTCTATGCTAAATCTTTATGTCCAAATGTAGCTTTAAGTAATTCAGCAGCTGTTTAAACCTGAGTTATTCTGGCCTTGCACTACAGAACACCATGTAAGATATGTGACTATATTTATTGCAGGCACCAGGTGGGACATCCAGCTGGGGCCCAGAGCTGAAGCACAGCTCAAGGAATTGACTTCAGCAATGCCAGCCATTTTTTTAAGGGCTGTTCTAGTGGATCAATGGGAAACTAACTGCCAATGAACATCCAGTTTCTAAAACCAAAAGCAGAGGGTCAACTTAGGTTTAGCCTTTCAATCTGAGAAGTCAGGTGAATGGGTTCTGGCAGAAACAGCTTTACTCTAGGCAGTTTAGTACATACTTTCAATAATAAGTGCTGCTTTCTTGATCTGCCTTGTAGTTAAAGCAAAAGAAAGGAAATACTTTTCACAAGCAGCTGGAGCAGGAGATTTGCCTCATGAAAACACAATCCTAACACTTATGTGCTCGCTGTTGTTATTTCCTCATCCATCAGTGTTGTGTTCACGTGTTTCTCCACATAATGATTATTGATCTGCAAGCACCATTACACAGCTACAGAAAAATAAATGAGAAACATCAGCATCTGGGTGTAGTTTGACTCACAAAATACTCCTCTTTAGATTAGTCTTTATTTTCTCTACATAAGATGAAAAATGTATCTTACAAGCACGTTAACATGTTTTAACATGCAATACAAACAAAGATGTTTGAAAGCTTGGTTGTAAAAATGCAAAAAGCATCTAAGTATGAACTGTAAGTACAAAAAATTAACCCTGACCTCTGATTTAGACCAGTTATGACTGCTAGGTTGATGGTTCAGGCAGCATATGCATTACACAAAAACTGCTGGTGAGCAATTATTTTCCTTTATTTGGAAAATGTTTAAAATTTAAATTTTATATTTAGAAATAAAAACACTTCCACTTTCATGTTTCAGTGAATAATTGCACTTTGGAATAAAATAAAAAAATATCATCCATCCACTGGTCAATTGCATCAGCTTTGGCTGGAATATAATGGCATTCAGGTGAAAGCACCTTTCCTTCTTTACAGGGCCAAGTTCCATAAACTGCAGGTGGAGGAATAGGTTCAGAAAGCAAGGCTGGAAAACTGAATCTTGATGGCCATGTTGGTAGACAAAGGTGTTTTGTTTCTGTAAAGATGCGGGTGCTTTGAAGGTAGTAAACACCCTTTCTGCAAACTCGATCAATTTGAGCAATTTTTTTGTTTATATAATTGTGCAAGTTCTCCATCGTGTGGCTATGTAGTCCTATTAAAAATTAACCACTCAAGGTTCAAGAGTGCCATTTCACTTAACATATAGGTCTGTGCATGTAGATTTCTCTACCAAAACATTTTCCTGAGAGATCTTTTGCATAAGACCACATCACTCAAAGAGTTCCCAACACAGAAATGCATATACTATACACTACGATTCTATCTTATATAAAACATAGTAATATACTTTTGAAGTCAAAATACGTCAGCAAATTAACCAGTTGCAGGCACAGCTTGAGTTCAGTGTTCTCAATTGTCAGTCGCCAGTTGTTTTTGTAAACTATAAGACATGAGAAAACAGTGTTAGTGCTCTTCAGGAATCTCAGGTTCCCCATATAGAACAGTTTCCATTGCTGAAGATAACTTCCAAAACAGCACTTCTCCTCACTTCAAGCAACCAAACTGGATTTCAAAATAGGCAAAAGCATTTCAATTTCTTAAGCAAATTAGCTGTTTACACAGATAATATGACTCACTTTAAGAAAGGTGATTTCAGCCTAGGAAAACAATCTGAAGTCTGAGTGACTTCTTTTGCATAGGTGCAGGATCTGCCCCAGGCCACAAGAAGTCAAGTGTTATTTAAAGGGCTTTAAGAGTTTAAAAGGAATGACCACGGGGCACAACCCTCACCTTTCCAGGTACTCCTTGACATTGTTGTAGCCATAGAACTTGGCCAGGTGGATGAGCATGCCAGTGGCACAGCGCCCGTCCCGCCGGCGGCAGTAGCTGCAGTTGCACACCCCACGACAAGGAGGGCAGATCCAGGCCTGCAAGGGTGTGAATGTGGGAGTGGAGGGAAAAGCAAGTTATGAGTAAGGCCATATTCACCTTCCCATTGCTCAAACATGAGTATGGCTTCCCTACAGCGTGATTGTTCAGAGCAAGGTTTTAAAAGCCTCTATGAGCCAAGCCAGTCAACCTTGTTAATACCTTCCAAATTCTGCAGGATTAGAGAAATGATTAAGTACTTGAATACTTCTTACTCTGAAACCTCAGGTTCTCTGATGTGCTCAGTATTAATTTTCAAATAGACTAAAGCCATCTGTAATGCCTAATGATAATTCATTCTATGCTAGGCTGATTGTAGTCAACTCCCTAGAAGAAGATGGGCACCCACTGCGTTAAGTTTGGCTCTGCCTGCTGGTGTAGCACAATTCCTGGAACTGAATTATCCAGCTTGTACATGAACTCAGGCATCTCCAAGCTGCTCAGCAACTGCACACAGAAGTGTAGGTATTAATATAGCAGCCACTGCCACACTGGGCCAGCACATCAGAGCCATTAGTTTTCTGCTGTCCTTCAGAACAGCCCAGAAGCCCATCTCTAAAGCACAGGTGGAGAGGAGGTCCAGCACAAGCTGAGCACAGAGCATGCTACTCTGCCAAGAGGTCTTTGTGTACCCACGTGCCTCACTGTCTGGCAGCAGCCTGTGCTCTCTCCTTGCTTAGTGTCTCAGGGGACAACAAAGAAAAGGGAACCACCCCTAGACTTTTAGGTATCCTTCTCCTTTTTCCTCATATTTAAACATTGGAATTTAAAACAAGGAACCTGCTTTGCATACCATGTTACTGAGAGCATTAAAAAATGGGTATGTCTTGGCATTTTTTCTGAAAGGGGACAGATTCTTTTTCTCAAGAAGTTCTCACACTTGCCCTCCACAATCTGGTAAGCAAGTGGAGCTTCGTAGCATGAAGACAGGTGGATAGGAAGATAGGTCCAGCACCTTCCACTTGAGTTCCAAACAGAATCAGTGTCAGTCATAACAGTATTACAGACCTCATGGCAAAAAAGTTTGAGCACCGTGTTACCATGAGCATATACACATTACCAACAAAACTGCATTCATTATACTCTCTTTCCAGGCCCAAGAAATTATACTTACTGGATCAAGCAGAGCTGATTTCACATCTTCACCGTATCGATTTCGAAGACATGGTCCACAAAACTGCCCCCGTACTCCTCCACAGCCCTGGTTACGACAGATTGTCTTTGTATCAGTTGTCTTTTGTCGACACTGGTGGCAAGTACTACCCTAAAGGTGGAAAGAAGGAGAAACATGTATGTATGAACATCTTAAATGCTTACCGATAAACTTTCTTAAGAATAAGTTCAAACATCAAACCAAAGTTAAATTCAGCAATGAAAATCTTAAAAAGAGCTGTTACGATAAATAATGATACATCATATAGCGATGCCAAGTGTTTTAGTGTCCAGCTTCAGTTGCATTGGAAGTCTCAAATAACAGGAACCTCATGTCACAGTTCTGATCCTTTTTCCTACCTAGGAGAAAGCTAGAACTATTCAGAAAATGACCTTGTGACTCATCTCTGCCAATACAATGAAGTGTGAAATACACAGTATGCTGACCTTCACAACAATCAGCAATAGCCAAATCTGGCGAAAGAAAGGTAGAAGTTCCATCGAAAACTTTGGAAACTACCCAGTCTGTACAGGAGTGTCATTTCCAGGGGGTACAAGAAACAGCAGGGATCACTATTATTTAATGGTACAACCAACACAACATTTAAATTAAGTGAGAATGAGAGATAAAAAGGATGCCAACACTTATCAGTGGTGAGTCATAGTTATAGCAAGTTTCACTTTAACAGCTCTGTGGCAAGAAAGCACTTCTTTCCAGAGGCAAAAAGCTAGTAGGATATATCAACCAGCACAGCCAAGCTCATGAAAGTCTGGCAAAGCTTTTGAAGTTGTGCTTGTGTAACGTAATAATTATGAGCTGCACTCTCCAGTACCTCATGAAAGCACATGTTTTAGCAAACACCAGTGAACTACTGAGAGACTTCTAATTTCAAGCACAAACATACTAAAGAATACAGCAGCCACTTACTAGAATTTTGTCATAGATTTTGTCTTTAACAGTGATTGCAATGTTGTCCAAGTCCTCCTCAGTAATATCTTCTACTGGACGGTAAGACGAATACTTTGATAATCTCCTCCTTTTGCGCACTTCACAATCCTCCTGCTAAATAAACTCATCTCAATACCTTTTGTCTGGTGTCATGAAGAACCTGTCACCACACCTGGTGACAAATTCTTTCATTTATAATGCATATGCAGTCCGTGCACAGACTACAGGCTCATGGACCACTGGAAGAACAGGTAAGTTCCCAAATCACCACTGCCTCTTTCTCTCCCTTTTCTCCCTAATCTTTTCTCTACTTAATTTTTTATTCCTTCTTTATACATTCTTCTCTTCCATCATTACTACTTTTATTTCCACACTCCCTGACATGTTTTTCTGCTACCTTCTTTTCTCTGCATTTCCTACACTCCTCCACTGTAACTCAGAATAAAACCTGCAACTTTTAAATGGCTATCCTGCACATTAGCAGCTTGTCGGTGCAGATTCCATTAGTTCATTCTCAGTTCAGCTATATAACTCGTATCTTCACTCTACTATTTCCAGAGAAGGGGTTTTGCCATTTTTTTCTGAGTCTGAAGATAGAGAAGATCTGCTTTGTCACCACCACCACTCTGTGCCTTGCCACGTCAAGGCCTTGTGCATTGCGGGCTCTACTAATTTTCAGATAATGAATAAATAACAGACCATAAGTAAACTGCCTTGTTATGCCTGGACAACACGTGTCACAAAGAGCCCAGTTAACAGGTGAATCACAAGGCAGAGAGATAACTTCTGTAGTAGCTAATCCCAACCAAAGATTCTCAATAACTTTTTGTAGGATGTGACATCTGGTCTGACAATTTAAATGTTTCCTAATTCCTGACTACTGGAGATATCAAAGTCTGGCAAATACCACACTGAGTCTCTTCAAGAGGTTTTGTTGTCTAGAGCTATGGAGGTGCTCTGCCAGCCTGACAGCTGACATCGTAAACTTTTCCAAGGCGAATTTTTCTGGTGGACGAGCATTTCTGGTTGGGTTCATGCGACGTGTTATCTGGCCTTCAGAAAATGTCCTCCTTGGTGTTTTCTTCTGTTTCTAGAAAGAGAAGATGATTCTGGAATTTGTCCTTTCAGTTATGTTTATAGAGTTAAAGCACTAGAAATTATATGAAGATGTCTGTACCACACTTGTACTATCATGAATTAATCTGTTGTTCTCCCACTCCTTATTTGTTAAGCCCAACATCACCAATTTCTAGCATTATTAAGCACTCTCCCTATGCACTATACCTTCCTGCTCCTTTTAAAACACCACACATCTGCATCAAATTCTACTCCAATTAACATCACAGAACTATACCAAAATTTAACATGGGGCATATTAAGGTAGAAGCTCGTTCTCACTGTTCTTCAGTAGCTAAATGTTCAGATTTCCCCACAATCTGACAACACCTTCAAGGAACAATATAAAATCTAGCTTATTTTCTTTTTAACTTTTTAAATTGCAAGGGCATTAATAAGCTCTCCTCCAAGTCCAAGATTCCCACAACATGGAAATTCTTAAGAGGTACAAGATACCTGTCACACCTGACAATTACTGCATGATTGAATTCACTCAACAAAAGTCCTGCATGCACACCTACCATAAAGGCAGCTACTAAATCTGACAGTATAAACAAGATGTAGGAAGCAAGTCTGCTTCATACCATAGACTTATTTCCTTAGAAAGGAGTGAAAGGCACATCGGAAGGACACAGGCTGAAAGTCAAAACCAAGCAGATGAGGTAACAAGAATACTCGTGATGCCCTCCCCCTTCCTCAATTAAAGATACTAAATGAAAGTAGCAGGCTTATGTATGTTTAGGTTTCTACAGCATTTAGCTAGAGCTAGCAAGGTTCCAGCTTTTCAAAGACCGTGTATTTTGGCTTCATCTTTTCATCTAACAACCCTCACACCAGCATTTCTACACAGGCTTCCCGAAGACGCTGCCCTTCAACTTCTCAAATCTTCAGTTTATAACAGATGTAGAAAAACAGTACTCCACAGACAACTAAGAGGGGCTGAGAGTCTTCTGCTTAAAGCTGAGAAAAGTCAATTGAAGTATCTACAGTATCATTCCAGGTTTGTGTTGAAGTAGTTCAGTTTAATGCACATTGCTCTACTAGGAAATGTGGATTTTACAAGAAAAGCCTGCAAGAGGGAAATTAACAGGATCTAAATCCAAAGGAAAGCAACTACCCTTCCTTATTCCCACATACACAGACACTTGTCTACCATTTCAATGGTATTTCTCGTGCAAAAGTCTCATCTTGGTCTTCATATTTTTTTATAAATTATCTTATTAAATTCCATTTCCTCACATAATCTCTGGTACTTCCTCCTGACCACTAGCAAATCTATAAAAACAAAGTGACCAAACACAAAGAAAACCAGAACAAACTTGGTGAAAGTTTCTGATAAAACACATTAGGAATCCTAAGTGTAGCAAAAATGACTGTCACTACTAGCCAGTACCAGAAACTTACCGAAGGAGTTGCGCTGGGCGTTTTCACTGGGAACAGGTCCGGTATGGAATTCAGTTCTGCCAGCAGCTGGGCAAGCTGAAATCAAGTGATGTCACATTGAAAACTCACTGCAACTTACAAACAAGCAAAACCTACCATCCAGTCTGAATTATACCTAAACATATGGAGTTTCAGTGCATGAAACATTTCTGGAGACACTTTATTTCAGTCGGGCTCATAAAAGGGGTTAATTTACTCCTGAATGAGTAAAACTCTGCCAGCAATGCTAACTTCACAGCTCCCACTAATTCTGACTGGGAATTAGAATGAGCCAGAATTAGACCAAATCTTGTTGAAACAGCACTGAAGGAGCACATTACAACATTGCAACAACATCCATGACCAATAACGAGAAAGTCAGTTCATATGACAGGAGGGAGAAAAGGAAGACAGAGTACCCTTGGCCAGCAGGTCATAAGACATGCCCTGTGGGCTGTTTTACTGAATGACTGCTGATATATCTCTACTTTTTGCCAGGGAACTCAGTGTCCCCTTATGCAGTGCAGATACACCCAGTGACATGGGTACACTCTCATTTACAAAAAAGCAATTAAGCCTCACTAGCAGTTCCCTAACCACAGAATACACAGAATCAGAAGTATTTCAGCA